AAACATGATGAGTTTATGTGTAAAGTAACATGTCTGATTTACAACAGTACCCTACCAACAATGTGAAAAATATCGTCGTTTTTAAAGCTTGAAAAGTATCAAATTCGGACAACTTCTTCCGTTTTAATTCTGAAGCACAAATGCGTCACTCCGTAAAGAAAAAAAACAAATGAAAAATTAATTTTCAAATATAGGATGGTACTTCTTTATGAGACAAAGGTTTGATTAAGGGTCCCGATGAGACACTTTATACAGTTTAAAATGCTAATATGATCGTGTATGGATTAAAAGAGTAGCTTTGTATATGTTAAAGATGCCCCTAGGGTATACCTGGTATACTGGTAAACCTCGTGCTTGAACACTGTGCATCTTTATATATGCATAATTCAGGGGCCTTTTTCAGGGGGGAGAAGGAAGCTTAAATAAGAATATTGTTAGGATTCCGAAAAAATAATATTATCTTTAATGAATGGATGAATGAAAGGACGAACGAATGAATAAATGAATGCTTTAATTTGTATAGGATGAAAATAACCCCGCTAACGGTCTAGCTACCACCACTAGTCAAGAACAAGAACAAGATCAAGATCAAGCTAAACAGCGAAGTAACCAAGTAAGCGGATTTACAGAAAGTTTCGAAAATCATAAGAAATTGTTTGGGTCTTAACATTCATATGCTTTTCAATTTGCAGTATGCATGCCGATATAAAAAGCACTTTTTTGGTATGTAACAATTTGCTTTGGATCGCGCTAATTTAAAATCTTATAAATGCAGGTCCATGTTAAAACTAGCTCTTTACAGAGGAATGTCATTAACTCTCAGAAAAAATAGAATCCATGGAAATATAAACCACTAAGCTACGCCCTCGGGTTTATCATGACTCCTCACGTAAATGTAAATGTGTAAAGCTTTTTTTAAAATTTCAGCTTAAAGTTTTAGGATTACTCTAAGGAGGCCTTAAAGGGTGTGTAGGAGTTACAGTGGTTAAGTTTAGAAGGTTCTTGTATTTCTTCAGGGGTTCTAGCCCCGATGGCGATCTTGTCTCTCCAATATGGGGGGGGGGGGCGTTGCCAGATCCTTAATTTCCTTATCTTATCTTAAAGCATATAACACATGTGTGTTAATGATTAAAAAATGTTTTTTATTGTTTTATTAATGTCGCATCTCTCATAGTTTTGGTTTCCTGATTTTAGATTTCCATTTAAAAAAAATATTTATAAATGAAAATTAAAACTTAAAACATAAAGAAACTAAGAAGATGTAAAAAAGTGTTATTAACATTAGTAAACTTAATCAAAAAGTAGGCAACAATGGCGAGAAGTGTTTGCCTTACTTCACTGTGACGCGGAACTTAAGAGGAGGGGTGGTGGGGGGGAGTAAATTATCAATCCATTCATGCAATTTACGAAATAACTCAATTTTTTTTGTATCATTTGTGACACTTGTTTTTGTTAGTTGAACTGAGAATGTAGTTTTGTGGAGAAATTTTTTAGGATTCATTTGAGACATATATAACGTTTTAATGATGTATAATAACTGAGTTTGAGGGCAAAGTTGACGTTCTAAATCATCCATTTGGGTGGTCAGGTTTTGAGAATCAATTTTTTTAAAATTATCAAATAACGACGAGATGAAAAACTGAAAAAGTTGACAGTTCACTAATTAGATCCTCAGGAACATATTTATCATTAGAAATCAATGTTAGGATCAATTATTTCGTTTTCATCAGTAAATTGAATTTCTTATTCTTCACGTATTTGTTCGTAGATTTCTACAAATGTCATCTTTTTAATAAGTTTTTTTGAAAATCTACAGAAAATGTGTGTGGACGATGAGAGATTACATAAACTGATAACTGTATAAGATTACTTATTTTCTATGATAAGAGTTAAATTTTATTTGCTCAACCTGTTCCTAAAAGACTAATTAGTTTACAGTAGATTTTTTTTTTACATTTTTGATACATTCTCAGTTCAACTACCATACAATGCCGGACATTCCCTTTTAACCTCACTTTATTCTGTATTTAGTTCTTTAGGTTGGCATGTAGGTTGTCCTTGACAGGCTGATTCGATTTGATTTCATTTGATTTCATTTCATTTCATTTCATTTCATTTCATTTCATTTCATTTCATTTCATTTCATTTCATTTGATTATTGTCATGATGCTCAAAAGGCTGCATATATATCACATCAATGTGCAGAAAATATTAAAGTCAATATTTAAGAATATCTACTAATCTAGTACATCAAAATTGGTTGATTGGTTTATTGGAAATCATTCCTGTTATCTTTTCCCTTATTCTGCAGCTGATCAGTTTATGTTTTATTATAAACACATAACTTTCATTATCAGTTGTTTACCTCGATATATTAGTCATATTTTCACTCTTACTGTATCATTGCACTTTGTACAGTGTATACTGTACTCTGAATACTATACCGCAAATTGTAAAGCTTGTGTCACGTGATTAAGCGCTTTGAGATCTTAGGCTCGACTTAAGGAGTTAGGCCCAATGAAAAAACCTACCTTGGTTGTTTTCAAAGGAGAAAAAGGCTCAATGTTGAGTCTTATTCTCATCAAAACCCGGAATGCGCCAATTCCAACCATGAAAATCCGCCAAATTCAAAATTAAACCGGTTTAAGGAACACTACTCTGTGGAAAAGTAGATGCAACTTAAATCTGAGAGCTGAAGTCGTAAATAAGGCCCAACAACAGCCTAACCTGAGTCGTATTTTTTGAATTTTTTTTAATCGCCGGCAGTAATTTCGTACCTAATTAAACTACTTTTTGCTGTTTGCTAATTCTGATCTCTGGATCTCCATAGAGTTTCTGTATGCTACACACTTGATGCTACACACTTGATGCTACACATTGATGCTACACACTTGATGCTACACACTTGATGCTACACACTTTCAATGGAGAAACTCGCAGAGATAAAAACTTTTCAAGTCTGAAAAACGACGGATCCTCCACATTCCAGAATAGGGATAAATTGCTAAAATCATAATTAAGACCAAGCGCGAGTAAACGGCGGGATTAACTATGAGTACCCTGGGCAGCATTGTGTTCTCAAGCTAGTGAATTATAAAACATTCATTTGTAGGATGAAGATGAGTACTTAGGACAAAGCTGCCACACCCTACACTCTGAATGTTCTACTGCTCCGCCCCCTCCCTCCCTAGGAGCGCCAGGTCCTGGGGATGGAACCAGTAGCAGTGAATATTCGTCCAAGAGTAAACCATCCAGTACAGATCAGCTCATATCTCAGGTAGATAATGAGGATCAGACACCACCAGCACACACAATCATATTTAAATATACCAGCTCAATTGCCCGGCGTTGCCCGTGGAATTTCAGAAACACTTGAAAAAAAATAGATTTTTGGAAAAAAAATTCTATTTTGAAAATTAAACTAACTTTTTTAGCCTTTCCCTAAAAAATTCGGCCAATTCGGTTTGGCCAGGAATAGCTAACAATATATACATACAAATATATAGATGCGAAGAGCTTTATTATTATATTATATTAAAATTAGGCTCAAAGTTAAATATTGTGTCGATATAAATAAAAATGTGAAATCCTCCAATGAAATCTGTAAAATATGCCCCCTTTTTATCATGTAAAAATATAAATGATAACATATAAAGAAAAATTTCAAAGCTCAAATTATTATTTGAAAATGGGCCGCAACCATCGAGAGATCTAAAAATTACAGAAAATTATTTTTTTACAAATTTTTCCTTTGGAAAAGACGAAAAAGCGCATGTAACCCTAATTGAAAGTGACCCTTCAGATGGCAATGACTGATTCACAACGGTACCCTTGAAACTTTGATCTTATAAAAAATTGGAAATATGTTGTGTTGATTTCTGATAATTTTCATATGTTTTCCTGCAGATGAAAGGCGCAAGTCACTTTTGTAGAGAACCACTGTTAAAAATATCAGTTTTACAAATTATCAATATTGAATTATATTTCATACTCGATTTGACAAACCTTTGGAGGGTTCTGTTGTAAATCTGGTATTGTCATCTTTGCTAAAATTTCAATAGATATAATTATGCTTACATGCCATCCAGTGCTTAGGATCCTGATCCAGGTCATGAATATTTCTTCAAGATTTACGGAATGTTTTCTAACAAAGCAGAATTTTCAAATTATTTTTCTTCTTTTTCCGCTTCATGTTTCATGCTAAACTTAATGAACCATTCAAAGATCAGGAAATTTTTATAATCTCTCTTTTTTGCAAAAGTTTAGATTTGGTTTTTCTTCAGTTTTTGGTTGATATCTTGCTCCTTGGATCAGGATCCGAGGATCCGCATACTTTTGGGAATCCGGATCCAGATCGAGGAAGCTTAAGTCTTGCGGATCCAATAGACCCGGATAAGGATTCGGATCCGGATTCCGGATCCTAACCTCTGATGATGCAAACATTGTTCTGCTTTGGCCGTTTTTTAAATTATATCTTTGTTCAGTTAAGTGAAGGATTCAGTCCTGAGTTATCCACGAGTAGTCTTATAACCTGCTCTGAGCACTATAATGGGAACAGTTTACTAGACAACTTCTCCCCCCAGGTATACTATACAGGGTGTCCCACTAAACAAGACAGTTTACTAGACAACTTCTCCCCCTGGGTATACTATACAGGGTGTCCCACTAAACATGACAGTTTACTGGACAACTTCTCCCCCCAAGTATACTATGCAGGGTGTCCCACTAAACATGACAGTTTACTAGACAACTTCTCCCCCCAGGTATACTATACAGGGTGTCCCACTAAACAAGACAGTTTACTAGACAACTTCTCCCACTAGGTATACTATACAGGTTGTCCGAGCAAACATGACAGATGAGAGACGATGTAAAGATCATCTTTGATGATTATAATAGTTCGCTGCATCCAGTAACGAATTTCATTTTCATTTTCCAAGAAAAAGAGGTAGTTCAACTTGCTCTACGCGGTTCAACCACTTCTTCTTGAATTTATTTAAACTGTTCGATCTTTTATAAATGCAAACCTTGCATTCATAATGTTCTGTTTAGACACCTAACAGTCCAGAAACCTTGTATTTATATTGTTCTGTTTAGTCACCCAACAGTCCTGAAACCCCGGAATGGTCTCTTATTGCCAATGGAGATTCATTTCATAAGGTAGGACATATTTAATTAATTGGTTCAATTATTGTTATATATATATTATATAATAATTAAAATGATTTATATATATATAAAGGATATAAAGAGAGGACGAGGGGACAGCCTGGATACCTCTAGCATATCCAACCAGGACAATAGAGTTATCATCACTATAGGACAGAATGAGGTATAAATTATAGGACTTTAAACGTATTTTCAATTAATTCTGCTTTTCAGTGCTTAGGATCCGGATCCGTTGGATCTGCAAGATGTTGGCTTCTTGGTTCCGGATCCCCAAAAATATGCGGATCCGAATCCAAGAAGCTAATAGCAACCAAATACTGCAAAAAAAAAATTTACTCTAAACTATTGAAAAAAGGGAGATTTTAAAAATTTCCTGATTTCTGAATGGTTCATCAAGTTTTATTTAAGTGAAAAAAATAAGACAAAATTTGAAAATACTGCTTTCTTAAGAAATTCAGTAAATTTTAGAGAAATAACCTGGATCGTGATCTGGATCAATTTTTTTCCAGTGCAGATCCAGGATCCGGATCCGCTTCAAAATTAAATGGATCCTAAGCACTGCTTCTTTTATTCAGTGGCATGTCTGAGTCACATTGGTACCCATTTAAGCTGTATTGAGAATTACTGGGGGAAGATATTGTTGTTTTATGTCTCATTCAGTTAGAAAAAATGACGGTATCTTCCAAGTTATTGATCAGCTAAAGGGTCAAATTGATCATGCAAATTATTTCAGGGTTTCTTTGTGAATCGGAAAGGCCTTATACAGAAATAGATATGAAATGTATGCCGAAATCAATTTTAAGGAACAAAGCACTCCTTATCTTTGCGACCTAATGATGTTAACCTTTGACATTTCAAACTTGGACTATTTGATCTAGCAAAATTATTTAGTTAGAAATATTAAAGGTTGGAAAAGGCTGAAAGGATTAGAAAATTAAGATTTTTAGGGGATACACTATTTCCTTTAGGTTTAGTTTTCATAAAGAGAAGCACTTCAGTACAAAGCGCTTTATGATTTTATTAGCATACTTCAAAAAAGGAATTTATCAAGCAATGTTCGAGATTTGTTGATTGTTAATTTTGTTTCTAGGTTGCAACTGGTTTAAGTAGTCCTGGTACTAGTTCTGGTACTATGACACCCCCTCAACCCTCCCATACACCTCGAACCCAGGTATACAAGGGTTAAAGTAGTTCTGGTATTATATCATCTCCTCAACCCTCCCATACACCTAGAACCCAGGTATACAGGGGTTAAAGTAGTTCTGGTATTATATCATCTCCTCATCCCTCCCATACACCTAGAACCCAGGTATACAGGGGTTAAAGTAGTTCTGGTATTATATCATCTCCTCGACCTTAACATTAGCACACATAACTCCTTACTTGGTCAAGATATTAAAATTGATTTATATTTGTTCAATTTATATATTTCTTCCTTTTTTTTGGGGGGGGGGGTCAAAGTAGGGCAAACAATTTTTTCAGAAACTAGACAAATAAAAAAATCTTTTAACAATTCAGTTCCTAATCCAGGGATCTGGGCAATTTTTGTTAAGGACCAAGAGCCGGATTTCAAAGTTAAAAATGGCGTAATCGTTTTCTAAGCTCGCTTATTTTAAATGTTGTTAGGAGGCACGATCTCCGGTTGAGCAGTCTCCTCCTCCCCTCCAACCCCCGTCTCCTCTTAGTAGTGAAGAAGAGAGTGATCTAGATAGTCTTCATTCATATCATCCACCAGTCAGGTATATTCATTCATTCATTCATTCATCCTTTCATTCATTCATTCATTCATTCATTCATTCATTCATTCATTCATTCATTCATTCATTCATTCATTCATCCTTTCATTCACTCATCCATTCATCCTTTCATTAATGTTTTCATTAATGTTTTCATTTATAATTTGATATATTTGTTATCCAAAACAAATGATCTTACTCCGCTGCAAGGTCGTCTTTGACCAAGATCTTCTCCGGTGCCAAACCAAACATTTTACACCTCAGACAAATCACGTGCAGAGCTAGCGCTTCAAATTTAGTTAAATTTTTCCATCCATTCTTATGATTATCAATAATTCATTTATTTCTTAATTAATCAATTTATTCATTAATTCATACATTCATGTATCAATTAAGTTGTTCATTTATTCATCTATATTTTACATGCATTTATTCATTTCCTTCATTAGTTTTTCCTTAAAATCCTCAAAACATGCTATCCTTTCCATTTTTACATTTTCTATCATTCATGTGTAGAATTGTTGATATCCTGAGTACTATTATATCCATGTTTAGAACTGTTGATATCCCGAAAACTATTACATCTATGTTTAGAACTGTTGATATCCCGAGTGCTATTATATATCCATGTTTAGAACTGTTGATATCCCGAGTACTATTATATATATCCATGTTTAGAACTGTTGATATCCCGAGTACTATTATATATATATATCCATGTTTAGAATTGTTGATATTCTGAGTACTATTATTTCCATGTTTAGAACTGTTGATATCCCGAAAACTATTACATCCATGTTTAGAACTGTTGATATCCCAAGTGCTATTTTATCCATGTTTAGAACTGTTGATATCCCGAGTGCTATTATATATCCATGTTTAGAACTGTTGATATCCCGAGTGCTATTATATGTCCATGTTTAGAATTGTTGATATCCCGAGAGCTATTATATATCCATGTTTAGAACTGTTGATATCCCGAGTGCTATTATATATACATGTTTAGAACTGTTGATATCCCGAGTACTATTATATATCTATGTTTAGAACTGTTGATATCCCGAGTGCTTATCGTCTGGCGAAAAGATTATATAACTTGGAAGGATTCAGAAAAGGAAAAAGATTCTTTCATTTAATCTTATTTTGGGAGATTTATGTTCTCCGTTTCGTTTTACAATTAAACAAATATTTGTTCACAAAGGTGAATAGAGACTATTTGCTGCATAGCGGCAAACAATAGGTGTTTCTAAGCTTTTTCTGACTTTTTATCATGTTAAAGGGAGTATAGACGTAATTTCATACAGGTTGTCTTACGAAACATGACAGTTGGTTTTCAATGTCTTCTTCCATATAATTAGATATTAAAGACTTTTTGTAGTTTATTTTGTTTAAAAAACCTTTTACACGAAAATGTTTTACTTTGAAAACTATTTTACTGTAAGATGACTCCCATATAAAATTTTTTGTTATTCTCTTTTGTATCAAACACATTAACAAATTGTGGAAGAAGACATTTAAACCTTTCACAAAATGTCATGTTTCGTGGGACACCCTATATGATCCTCCATTTCCGATATATACAGGATTATTGATTTTATAAAGGTTTAAACTGTTGAGAATTGTGCATGCCCCCTTTTAGGACTGTATAAGCATAATTTTAAGATGGCAATACCCGGTGCTTTTCCTGAGCAAGTATAAATTAGATTTTAATGTTTACAATTTTGAAAACTGATTATTTTCAATCGTGGTTTCAAATGTGACTTGCGCATTTCTGCTGCAGGAAAACCCGGAAAACTATAAATATCTTTTACATTATTGATCACATAAAGGTTACAAGGGGACCAGAGTTGTGAATCGGGCATTGTCATCCTTGAAATTACGCTTACAGTCCCTTAAAGGGTTTGGAGAAATGATATAGTCAAGTACTTTTTATACAAGAAAACCTCCTGATCCCATGCCGTAATTAATTATAAAAGTATCTTGATTGTGAAGGAGATGTATCCCGGCACTTGAGTAAAAATAATGATTTCAGTAAAGCTGTCGCAGATGAATATTGCAAGGTAAATTTGACCTTTAGACAATTAGAGTACATTTCAAACCCGTATTCTGTTCTAGTCCTTTAGACAATTAGAGTACATTTCAAACCCGTATTCTGTTCTAGTCCTTTAGACTATTAGAATACATTTCAAACCTGTATTCTGTTTTAGTCCTTTAGACAATTGGAGTACATTTCAAACCTGTATTCTGTTCTAGTCCTTTAGACAATTAAGAGTACATTTCAAACCTGTTTTCTGTTTTAGTCTTTTAGTCAATTAGAGTACATTTCAAACCCGTATTCTGTTCTAATCCTTTAGACAATTAGAGTACATTTCAAACCTGTTTTCTGTTCTAGTCCTTACCTGTATTCTGTTCTAGTCCTTTAGACAATTAGAGTACATTTCACACCTGTATTCTGTTCTAGTCCTTTAGACAATTAGAGTACATTTCAAACCCGTATTCTGTTCTAGTCCTTTGAATTTGCTGGTTTAAGCTTAGACGAGGCTTTGCGTACATTCCTCTCCAGGTTCAGCCTTATAGGAGAAACACAGGTATTAAAAATTGCATTGCATTGATTGATTGATTGATTGATTGATTGATTGATTGATTGAAGAAAACCAATTTTTTGCTTAAATAAATTTAGCTTATCTTAACAGCAATGGGGAAAATATCGTTGTTTTTCTACATATATATCTAGATGAAAAAATCTTGGAATTTTAGTTGTTCAAAGAATTGTAACTACTGAGGATCGTCATGTTAGACGTGAAACATTATGTTTAGTATAATTCTTTTTTTAATAAAAATGTGAAGTTAAGAACTGAAATATATATCTATATATATATATATAATACTAGGCTTTCAGCGGGCTTTGTGCCCATTTTCTATTTCAACTGTGAACGTGTTCTCATTGTAAACATTAAGAAGAAAAGAATTTCGCGGATTTTATGTAAAAAATAATAATTCGCGGATTTTCAAGATTTTAAAATTTTTTACAAAAATAAAAAACTTTTAAACCAAATTTTTACAAATTTTGATCATTCATAAACCTTCCCAGGGGGTCACGTGAGGTCTCACACAAATTTGGGCCCAATCGGTTCAACCTTTTTGACGTTTATTGGATACAAAGGGACATACATAACGTTTTAATGATGTATAATTACTGACTTTGAGCGCAAAGTCGACTTTCAAAATCATGAGTGCAGTGGTGCAGTGGTAACCAGAAAACTTGGGAATGAATGTATTAAATATTTGTTCCTACTTAAAACCATGTCGCAAAAGAATTTGGCTTTGTTTTAACTTATATATTTCTGAAAATATTTCTTGGGCACATTTAAGAACAATTACCTTCAAATTCTTGGCTAAAATTCATATTTCAAATCAACAATTTTTATCTGCATACATAATGAAGTTCCGACATTTTTCACAATGTTTTTATTCATCAAGTCACATCTAACAACCTGCTCCTTGATAAGGGAATTTGGTTCAAGCCTTAACATTTATTGAACACTTTTCTTGAATATTATTAAAAATATTATTATGTGATAATTATTTTTGAAATAACTAGGAACGAGAGAGAGTTCTTCTTCACTTCAGCAAGCGTTATTTAGAGTCAAACTTTAATCTTAGAGGACACTCTTTTCAATCCCATGTAAGTATTTTTCTGTTTTTCAAATATTTATTTTTTAAACGTCTTATTCATTCAACAAAATAATACAGAAGTAATTCAATATATTCCCTTTATTTGATATTTTCAAAAAATACTTGGATTATCCTGCGGCCCCCCCCACGCCTAATTTCACGTACTCGGTACTTCATCGAAGAAAATAAACGTAAAAAAACGCAACTTATCTAGTGCATCAAGCCTTCATGTATTTATATATGATGTGTACACACTACATACAGGGTTACCCACAATAGATAAGACTGTGAAGACGACCCAAAACAATTTGAAGATTGATTTTCGGTTTCTGCATTCAATTGAGTTGTTGGTTTACTAAATTATTAAGCACAGAAATAAGCCAGTTTTGGCCTTCAAGGAATCCAGAAGTTAAAAAACGGACTTCACAAACTTCATATATTCGGCACTGAAGTCTCATTCGTGTGTAACCCTGTACACTAGTCTGTAAAGTGTTAATATCTAGTATAATGTACAATGTACATACACAAACTGTACATATGATGTATCTGTACATACAGTACGCTAACCTGTGCATACCTAGGATGCTGTACATACACTGACCTGTGCTATAATGCTGTTGAACACGGATCTACATAACACAAATCTACAATTAAGAAAAATGTCCCCAAAGGTAAAACTATTTAATACACTATCAAGAGACTGAACTAGAACAGATGATGCAGCTCCCTGTTTCAGTTTCTGTATTTATTTCTTTTAAGTTTTGTTATTCTTTGCTTGTTTTTCCAGGTTTTGTTAACTGTGAGTATATAAATATATATCGGAAAAAAAAAATTATCTGCGAGAGTGAAATCCTTGTTTATCAATAAGGACAAATTATATGAAATTATTTAATTTTTGCATTTAATATCTTTTATTTGTATTAAATTCTGGCTTAAAGTAAAGTTATCAATACTCAGATAGGTTTAAAAAATTTGATCAGTGACCTATGATTGAGGTAAAAATCTACGTCAAAGCGGTCTCTTTAACGTTAAGATTACTTAATTTGTTAAAATACTAGGAGAAGTTTTTGAAATCTTAATTGTTTCAACCAGGTTTTAGAGAAGAAGAAAAACTATTTAAGTAGGAAGGGTAAAAAATCACTGAAAGATCTGATAGGTATACAGTGAAACCCTTAATAACGAATACATCGAAAGAATTCATCAAATGCCTTAATCTTCACTTTCTGATGATGGAATGTTGCAGATATTAAGTTTTTTAATTGAATGATTATATGGAACTCTTTAAAACTGTTCCCGCATATTCATGGCTATTTATTTATTTTCGCAAATACTAAAATTTACGTAATATAGTATAAAACTAATCGAAAAATTGTCAAGACGACATTTGATAAATTCTTCCGATGTATTCGTTATTAAGGGTTTCACTGTATAAAAAATGAGATCAAAGCCCCTGAGCAGTGAACACTGTCCGTTTTATTTTGTTAAATTTTAAAAATGTTAAATTTTACTAGGCCCCAAATTATTTTTTGGACTTTTTTATTTTGAGATTTTTACTATTTTTGCGTTCTTCATTTTATCGTTTCTAGGTGGATCTTTTGACACCATTTTTAACAAAAATTTGCAAAATTCCTTCTTGCTGTCATTCGTGATTTTTTTAACTTTAATTCTAACAAAAACTCGGGTTTTGCTTGAGAAATTTACCTATATGTACTTAATACCCTTTGTACTTATTAACCTTTGTACTTAATACCCTTTGTACTTATTAGCCTTTGTACTTATTAACCTTTGTACTTATTAACCTTTGTACTTATTAACCTTTGTACTTATTAACATTTGTACTTATTAACCTTTGCACTTATTAACCTTTGTACAGGAGTTTGTAGAGAACTTAGCTGATCTCAACGACGGACATAATTTCCCTCCTGATCTTCTCTTCAATATATATACATCAATTAAACGGGAACCTATACAGTGGGTTCAGGTTAGTACAGAGATATCTCTTCTCTCCCCCTGTAGCTTTATAGGCAGAGTAGGTTTCTACCTGATTTCATATCTATGTATGTATATATTCATCAATTAAACGGGAACCTATACAGTGGGTTCAGGTTAGTACAGATCCCCCTGTAGCTTTATAGGCAGAGTAGGTTTCTACCTGATTTCATATCTATGTATGTATATATTCATCAATTAAACGGGAACCTATACAGTGGGTTCAGGTTAGTACAGAGATTTCTCTTCTCTGTAGCTTTATAGGCAGAGTAGGTTTCTACCTGATCTCATATCTATGTATGTATATATTCATTAATTAAACATGAACCTATACAGTGGGTTCAGGTTAGTACAGAGATTTTTCTTCTCTGTAGTTTTTTAGCAGAGTAGGTTTAAACCTGATCTCATATCTATGTATAAATTATCTTTGGATCCAATAACTATCAAATTTATTGGGGGTTTCCTTAGAATTAATGAAAGAAGTTTCAGCTAAAATGTTAAATGTTTAGGAGGAGGATGAAGATGAAGAAGATATTTATGAACCTGAACCTGAACGTCCTGAATCCTCGGACAGGTCCCGCCCTCTGGACCGGCCACGCCCCTCACCTGTACTCCTGGCCAACTCTGTAAACCTGGGCGGGCAGCAGGTGGGCGGAGTCAATCCCTTCCTCAACCTGCCAGACGAGGACAGTGTTGACTACAAGAGAGGTTTTGTCATCAGGTAAAGATTCTAGAATAGGAAGACGACATTAAAGCAATACTGAACGGCATTTGATGTTACAAAGTATAAAGCTTTGCTTGCTAGTTTTTTAATCATGCTCCGTTAACGGTTTTGTTTGTGTTTAGGAAGTGTTGTGTTAATGCTAATGGTTTTGTTTGTGTTTAGGAAGTGTTTTGTTGATGTTAACGGTTTTGTTTGTGTTTAGGAAGTGTTGTGTTGATGTTAACGGTTTTGTTTGTGTTTAGGAAGTGTTGTGTTGATGCTAACGGTTGTGTTTGTGTTTAGGAAGTGTTGTGTTGATGCTAATGGTTTTGTTTGTGTTTAGGAAGTGTTGTGTTGATGCTAACGGTTTTGTTTGTGTTTAGGAAGTGTTGTGATGATGCTAACGGTTGTGTTTGTGTTTAGGAAGTGTTGTGTTGATGCTAACGGTTTTGTTTGTGTTTAGGAAGTGTTGTGTTGATGCTAACGGTTTTGTTTGGGTTTAGGAAGTGTTGTGTTGATGCTAACAGTTTTGTTTGTGTTTAGGAAGTGTTGTGTTGATGCTTACGGTTGTGTTTGTGTTTAGGAAGTGTTGTGTTGATGCTAACAGTTTTGTTTGTGTTTAGGAAGTGTTGTGTTGATGCTAACAGTTTTGTTTGTGTTTAGGAAGTGTTGTGTTGATGCTAACGGGTTTGTTTGTGTTAAGGAAGTGTTGTGTTAATGCTAACGGATGTTTTTGTGTTTAGGAAGTGTTGTGTTGATGCTAACGGGAAGAAAACTAAGCTAGGAAAACGAGGATGGAAAATGTTCTATTTAACTCTCAGAGATCTTGTTCTTTTCTGTTTCAAGGTAAACATATTGTTGATTCAGCTGTTTTCTGAAATCAACTGTAATTTGAATTCAGCTGACTCAGCTGTTTCCTGAATTCAGTTGATTTCCGGGACTACATCATTTCCGGTTTTAACCAGCACCAAAGCAGTTTTATATACTCTAAAAATTCGGTGATGGTGATGGACCAAAGCTACGAGAGTAAAAAAAGTATATGTTAGTTCCACATTTATTAAAAATATATTTTGGTCTGGGTTGACCCTCGTCAGTTCTAACGATATAATAACCATCAAAATCGATAAAAAAAAATTTTAAAACTTAAAAACCACATGAAAATAAACAAACCCAAAAGATTATTTTAAAAAATTGGCCAATTCTCTCCAACCCTTGGAGATCGATACGACGGTCAAAAGCGAGAATATGTTTTCTAGTTCTTCTTAGAATTCTTTTTATTAATGACCGTGCTAAAATTTCCAACAATATTAAAAGATGTCGTCCTTAATTCAATTCGAATAATTATCGGATAAGTATCTCCTTGTTTTATGAAAACTTGGTGAACATATGTTCATCCTTAATTTCTTAATTCTTTTAAATAATGTTGTAATCATAGATAAAGATAGATTGCGCATAAGATGACATTTTTCATCTTAAAAGATATAAATGTACAGAGATGTTTTAAAGATATTCCTATTATATAGATTAACTAGGTCGGTTGTGAACATTGGCTGCTCTTATGTCATTGAGTACTTGTGGTTTACATGAGTTCTGTAGAGAGAAATTTAAGTTAGTTTAGTCGTTATCATGTCCTTCTTCAGTTCTCGTCAATATGATATATTGCTCAGTGAAATATTGTTGTTCAAATCGTTCCATAAAATTCACTCCTGAGTGGTTTAATAATTATGAAATCCATTAAAACACCAAACCATCCCGCTTATCATTGAAAGTACACTTTGACCCCTAGAAGTATGAGTTCGCGGACTGTACAATTCTTGGTGATTTTGTGTACATAAGCTATCTATGTTTATTTATTTATCTATGGTCGTAATCAACACAGACTGTATCTTAACTATGTCATATTACACGAAAAACGACGACCCACAGTATTTCTAAAAATGTCGTCATTATCATAACTTGAGAAATCTTTCAAGCGTGTCTTTTATTTGTATATAAATAAAGACACGGTTAATTTTATAATTGTAAGTTTATGTTCTATGTTTATCACGACCTGGGTACTGATAAGTACACCACCTTAAATTCACAAACATAAATTCCATACCTAAACTAATGGGATACATACAATATATATTTTGTAATAAAAATTCTATTTTGTAAAACCCTTCAGAAAACATAAAAAAGTTAGTTTTATAGACGTCTTTATTCAGCTGTTTTCTGAAATCAACTGTAATTTGAATTCACCTGATTCAGCTGTTTCCTGAATTCAGTTGATTCAACCGTTATCTGGATCCAGCTGATTTAACTGTTTCCTGAGTTAATTAAATTCAACTGTTTTCTGAATTCGTCTGATTTAAAGCTGTTTCTTGGATTTAACTGATACAGCTGATATCAACATTTACAAAGTTAATATTTAAATTTTAGGATGAACAATCTGCTGGAAGTTATGGAGCCTTTGATAATCCTAACATTGCAATCCGTATTCATCATGCCATTGCTTATAGAGCTACAGATTACAGGTTGGTTGGTTGGTTGGTTGGTTGGTTGGTTGGTTGGTTGGTTGGTTGGTTGGTTGGTTGGTTGGTTGGTTGGTTGGTTGGTTGGTTGGTGTTCATTTGTTCATTTGTTCATTTGTTCATTTGTTCATTTGTTCATTTGTTCATTTGTTCATTTGTTCATTTGTTCATTTGTTCATTTGTTCATTCTTTACTTAACATTAATCAATATAAAATATATCTAAAAGTTCTCCTTAAATCTATTTAATTGAAATGTTTTGTTATCATTATTAAAATTAGGTGGAAAGAATAATCAAAACAGCCAAGAGCTATTTTCCACCTAATTCCTTTATACTTGTTAAAATACTTATCAATTTGTAATTGTAAACTCGTTCTGTACACAGATACATGTATTTTAGCAATAAGCTTTATCTATTTATCTATCTAATGTTGTATTAGCTTACTATTTATTTCTATTTGTTCAGGAACTATTTGCTTGGTTGGAAACTATTAATACTGTTGTTGCCAGGTATTATATTCATTCAATTCACAATTTTTTAGAAAGAAATTATCTCAAAAACTTTAATAAAATAATGAAATGTTTGGTAAAACAAAGTTTTTCCAAATTATTCTTTGAAAAAATGAACCAAATATTTCTCTTTTATGGTAATGTCACCATATTACAAACTTGAGATATATGTTTTCAAGAAGAAAATATAAATTCTCAGATTTTTTTTCACCTTCAATTGTAATATTCTTTCAGCATTTTTAAATTCATTCTTTATATTTTTAATCCTTAAAAATATTTCTAGATAATATTTTACATACATATACATGTAGATCTTAGTCATAGTGGTGAGGGAATATAGTATTTATCCCATGATTAGATTTTTTTTAAATAGTTTTTTAGAATTATTTGAAAATATATGTTTGTAGGTTTAGTTCTCCTCCTCTCCCTGCTCCAGTCTCCAGTTCAGCAAAGGTTAGAATTTCTTATTTTTTGAAGATTTTTAACAAGTTTTTATTTTTTCTAATGAGATTTTAATTCCCTTGAAATCTTAATTTAGATTCGCATATTTGAAGAAAAAAAATATGTATATTATTTTTTAATGATTTTGGTTAGATGATAAAGTTTTCATATTGTTTTAATAATTTCCTCTCTTTATTCATTTAGTTATCATATATTAGACTTGTATTTATACATTGTATTTTATACAAAGTAATAACAGGGAAGAAAAAATTTGATAACATTTAAATATGTTACTTTGTACTAAATTTTGATTAACAAGAGATACTTTTTTTTTAGTTCCAGCGTCCCCTGTTCCCTTCTTCATGTTCTCGATTATCACTAGCTGATCAGCTGACTTCTCACCGCCAGCAGCTGGATCAGCTGGAACAACAGCTGATCCTCAGTAGCTCCAATCCACCATCTGGCGGTAAAAAGTTTCAAGACAATGAAAAGCTTGAGTTCTTACAAAGTGAGAAGGACAGATTCCAAGTTTATATTCGTTGTTTGGAAACTCTGAAGAGCAAACATGAATCCCAGCTTCTCTCCAGTCCTATGAGACTGATGGCGCAGTAGACCTGGCATCAGATTGTCTCGCAGTGAATTGACAGCTGATTCAATTTGTTGGTAGCTGATATAATTTTCACAGTTGATTTAATTAGGCTTACTGCTGATGAAGTTTAATTGACAGCTGATTTATTTTATTTGTCAGCTGTAAATATCTAATTGACCAACTTTTGTGATGGTGTCAGCTGACTAATCAATGCAGTCATCCCCAATTGTCCCCTTGTCTCATTGTCCCCTTGTCCTCTTCAGCCTGATCGACCCATTTTAGGACAATGGGACTCAAAACAGTGATATTTCTTACTTCCAAAGTAGATTGTGGCCAAATTCAGGTTTTCAAGGTGCAGATTGCAGAATTTCATATTTAGACATTAATCATTTTATAGAGACTGTTATTGTAATTTCAAGTGACCCACCATTTAAAGAGGACTATGTATGATTCACAACGGTACGGTACTTAGTGGAATAAAAAATTGTTTACTTATGGCAATTTTCTGCGTTGTTAATGTTATTTGCAAAATGCTTATCTAAAGAACCTACATTTGAACATGAGCAATTTTCAAAGAGGAATACATGTATTTTTATTTTACTCTGAATCAGAGGAAAGCTTCAATGGGTACAGTTTATAATTGGACATGCCGCACTGTAGATGAATGGTCACTCAAGTTAACAAGTACAATCTCTCTAGCTCTCTCTCTATATACATATATATAAATATTAATAATAATTTAACGAGATATCACAATACTACGGTTTAGATATTCAAACATAAAAACTAAACAAATTTGTATTTTTTTAATGTTGTTTTGATCACAGTTGCTGTCATAATAGGAAAAAAAAACAATCTCCATCTTTTTATTCTAATTTAATAATTGCAAAAAAATAATTTAAAGCAACTATTAATTCTAGGTTTATAGCTGACCAAATTTTTGCATTTTCTGAATTGCTTTAATGCCAAAAAAACTCAATGCATTTTAAAAATTGAATTTAATAAGCTTCTTGAATTGGACAATCATGGCCTAATTATTATTATTTCTAATGTGATTTATTTTTTAGTTACTTGATAATTGCGCATTAAACTATAAATCGTAGTATTTACATTGTACAAGTATGATTTTGTTTTCAAGTACTTCAGCTTACAGGATGGAGTACAATAACATTTATGTACCATGCATATTTTTCTCGATATGTTCAAACAAATAAGTTTTTAACATTTCCCACTGCAGTCAATTTCAGATTGTCACTCAGAAAAATACACAAATTTTTTATAAAAACTTACCTTTAATGAAAAAATTCTAACATTTATTTTAATGAATTGAAAAGAGAAATGATTTTTTAAAACGCACTATTTTTAGGCAGAAATTAAAAAAATTCAAATTGTAAACAATAAGTATGATTTAAGAAATGTAGGGTAACCCACAAATGATGAGACTTCAGTAAATTACCTGATATTGTAGAAATCACAAACTAAGAATCCCCAAGGGATGGAAGGATAAAATAGAATCCAGGAGTCAGTCGGACAGGAGCCAGGAACAAGAGAAGATTTTCAAGCTTACTCTCAACATATTTACTTAATCTGTAATATATTATATCCTAAAGTATCAGTAAATATATAATCTTGCAGTGGTGACCCCGAAGGAAGAAAAATGGTTGTAACAAATGTTGTTTCCTTGAAATTGCCGCAGTTTTGAGCCGACTGGGCCAAGATATGGTTTGCACAGGCTAAATCCCAGTTTGTAATCAGGAATGTTACTGTAGAGATCACTTAATATCATCACCTTCTAGCAGCTCTTCAGAAGGATGTAGCTATTACTCTGACAGATGTCTTTGAACATGTTCCTGATGAAAATTCATACACTGCTCTGAAACTCCCGTCATTTGATGAAATATACCCATACTGATCTTCAGAAGGCTGAGATGAAATGCTCTCTGCCTGATATTGGAGATCGAAAACCATCTGATCTTATGGATTTAATGTTGGATCTGTGTCCTATTGGACTTCTCTTTAAAATTCAATGATGTTGATGGACCAAACCTCTGTAGAATGAAAAACTCCACATACCAGTCTTCTAGCAACACATCAGTTTCAGACTCAGTGGCTTTCACAGAAAAATTAAGGTGTAACATAGCAGAACCTTTCAGATTTTAAAGACATTATCATTCCTGTTGTGTTTTTCAACTGTTGGACCTGTGGACAAGGATCCTCATAGGCAAGGGTGTGAAGATGTCCTCAATATCAACGGGGTGGGAACCTTTTTCAACATCCATGCGGAAAACTGTGGGACAGCCATTTTGAAGTGTAAAAATTACACGTTTACATAAAAAATATGATTATTTTATTTATTCATGAAACAGTAACATTTTATACTTTTAGGATCAAAACTGATGCAAGATAATCTTGGAGATGAATTTTTGTCGGATCCTCATGAAAATAAGAAGAAACCGATGCAAGAGAAGAATCAAGACGAGTAAGAAGTTGATGATAATGAAAGTAACAGTAAAGATAAAGAACCGGAAAAGGAGAAACCGACGGAAGATAAAACTTGCAGAGAAGAATCGAGACGAGGAAGAAGTTGACGAAAGTCACATTGAACAAAACTGTCTTCGGAATCGAGACGAGGAAGAAGAAGAAGTTTCTAACTTGAGTCCTGACAATAGGGGGTACTCCTCTTTTTTTTATATTAATACACGTGGACACCTGATCAACTGTCTTCTTTAACCATTTTGTTTCCACCCACTCAAACTCTACCAACTCCACATACTAGTCTTCTTGCAACACATCAGTTTCAGACTCAGTGGCTCTCACAGAAAATTCAAGGTGTAACAAGCTTTCAGATTTTAAAGACTCTTATCATTCCTGTTGTGTTTTTCAACTGTTGGACCTGAATGATTATGAACTATGGTTGGAAGGTCTGTTCTTGATGAAGCATTATATAAACAAGTACTCTGGATTATCCGAAAGCATGTAGCATGTACCTTCAGGAGAAAAGCCCATGTTACGGTATCCAATGGTGTTGTAGAATGTATCTGTTAAAATTTTCTTTCCATCAGAATCAATGAAGAGGGATGAGGAGTCTTTATCATGACACAATTTTATTGGCATCCATCCAGGATGCATTTAGCTTCCAAAAGTAGATTAAGGCTTTCAGCATATCAGCTGTAACAGTGAGATAGATTGTTTCTCCTGTTTTTCCTCCTTTGCTTTACTTTATCCTTCAATCTCCAAACTACCTATGCTATTTCTGTTTTGCCAAGAACTGGAGAGAAGAATAAGGAGACGTCTCAAACACCTCTCTTCAAAATACCAGGTATTTCTGCTTTGCCAAGCACTGGAGAGGAGAACAGGGAAAGGTCTCAAACTTCTGCAACAGATATTTCTGTATCTCCTAAGCAACAGGAGCTGCCAAAGAAGAGTATTAGAAAGAATAATAAGGAGAAGAAGAAATCTCAGATGGTCCCTGGTATCCTGAGCAAAACAACAGGAGGTGCTAAGTCCTGGAAGCCTGTGGATAATCTTATTTTGGGGGGATAGATAAATTTCTTTACAGTTTAGTAATCGCCATTTTGAATTGAGTTTCCAATAAGCTTTAGTAGGAGCAGATTTCCTCAAAGCTTTCAATCTACTTTTGGACGTAGTTGGAGCACAAATATTGGATTTATCTTCATTTCAGTTTATTTTAATCTCACCGCTAGCAAACCAATCTCCTATTTATACTGCCTTTATAAATAATCCAACTCAGTACAGAGCTATCCTGGCAGAGTTTCCTGGTGTTACTGCAGATAGACCTAAACCAAACTCCAAACCTGCTCATGGTGTTTATCATCATATTCAAACAACTGGACTGCCGGTGTATGCTGAAGTCTGCTGATTGGATCAAACTAGTAGTAGCAAAGGCAAGAATTCGACAGCATGGTAGCAGTACACTTTTTTATTTCTAGTTTGTCCGTAAAATGTATTTTCAAGACTGAAGACCAAATCAACCCCTCGGATTTCAGTGTTCAAAGAGTTTTAGGTCGCCATTAAAATCTCATTATTTATGGGTTACCCTGTATACAGACTTGCTTTCTGTTTTTTTTCTGAAAGTTTGATTTAATGTCTACAGTAAATCTGAGAAACTTTTTGAAATTTATAAAATCATAATTTAAACATTTACTTATCTGTACGTACAAAAACTTATTTTTTTTTGGTTTAAAATTGTTATTGATATCAGTGATTTGTACTTAAAATATGATATTTCAAATTGTGATTCGTATCCAAATGTGGACAAATTATTAAATGTTTTAAGGGACTGTTGCTGATATTTTATTTGACCCTAAATTTCAAGATGTCTAAACCCTATTCAAAACGTTGCCTTTGAACTTATATCTGATAATTAATGTGGAAGATATTGTTGTTATTGTGTCACTCCAACAGAGAAACAGAAATTGAAATAATAAACTTCGATAAGAGTGAATAGGGTACCATTGTGTGTCGGACATGTCCGTCTAGCAAAGAAGGGTCACTTGAAATTATGTTAACATTCTTTTAAAGTTTACCTTCTATTGAACTGCATCATTGTACAATTTATGTAATGGCTGAAATTGTACAATGTACATGTATACGACTATTCACAATTCAAATTTTTTAAAAACAAATCAGTCTTGATATGTCCAATTTCTCTATGAATACATGTGTTTATGTTATATTATATCTTAATACCAGCTGAAAACTTCGAATTACATAATAAAAAACTACTATTTTCTTTCTTATTATTAATGTAATTAGAAAAAATATACTGAAATAACCGGTTTTTAGGATACGTGGGATTTTACCTCCATCACAAAGGCTCAGAACAAGGAAAAAACGGCAAAACTCTGAAATCCTTATTTTTTGATGAATTTTGACATTTTTTGGCTCAGATTACTTTAAAACTTGGTGGAGAATGCAAAAAATTTAATTTGGTGCCAATTTCAATATAATTTTCATATTTTCATAATTTCTAATTTTTCGCGAACATTTTTTTTCGCAATTCGTTTGCTCGTGAAAAGTGCGAAAAATTTTGCATTTTCTATTTTGCGAAAATTTTCGCATTTTTCACGAGCAAATGAAATGCGAAAATGAAGCGAAAAAAATTTTCGCGAAGAATGAGAAATTTTCGCGAAACGATTTTTGCTTCTCGCTGCAATCCCTTGCAGGGATCAACATGAGAATGATGTTGTGCCCATGCTGATACCGATATTGGGGATATTGAGCAGGGATCAAAAAGATAATCATATTTTGATTTCACTACTTTCGGTTTGAAGCACTTTTTTGAAATACATGTATATTTCCAGTTTGAATAAGGAATGAATATTTTTCAATAATTTTTTTGTAAGTTATTGAAAATATCAAATAATCTGATATATTTAGATTTTAATTTTGTTTTCTATTTATTACACCAGGCGCTTTGAACTCTAATTTAATTTTTTAAATTTATTGGCAGAGTTGAAATTGTAACGTCAAAGTGTCCAACGGATTTATGCTGGAGAGACAATGAATGAATTGTGAATTGAGAGAACGGGGGGGGGGGGCCAAAAAATGTTTACTTTGACGGACCCAAAGCATGCACATTATCATTGTTATTGAAATTGTTAGAATTTTTTGTTTCTAGAGTGAATGAATGAAAGGATAAAGTGACAATGTATGTATGATTTAGTGGAAAGAGTGAATGGATGAAAGGATAAAGTGAAAATGTCTGAATGATTGAGCAGAAAGAGTGAATGAATGAAAGGATAAAGTGACAATGTTTGAATGATTGGGTGGAAAGAGTGAATTGATGAAAGGATAAAGTGACAGTGTTTAAATGATTAAGTGGAAAGAGTGAATGGATGAAAGGATAAAGTGACAATAAATAAATGATTGAGTGGAAAGAGTGAATTAATGAAAGGATAAAGTGACAATAAATAAATGATCGAGTGGAAAGAGTAAATGGATGATGGGATACAGAGTAACAATGAATGAATTAATGAATTATTAATTTAATGAATTAATGAATGATAAAACAATGAATGAAAGGATAGAGTGACAAAGGATGAATGATTGAATAGTAAAAAAAAATTTAGATGAATGATTAAGTTGACAAGCCTATGGCTGTTAATTTTATGCATTACCAGGCTTTTGACACATTATTTAAACCTTATTCTTTAAGACTTTATTTAATTTATTTTTGTCTATCTATCTATCTATAGTATTTATCTATCTATCTACTTGATAAGGTTAAATTATCCCGAAAGTGCGTGTATGATTTTGTTTTCCATATTATATTTTCATCAAAACAAATCCAGCATTATTTGATTTTTTAAATAGTTTAATTGCACATGTTGAGAAATTAGAAAGACCCACCAGTTTTATTGTATTTGAAAGATAATCACAATTTTATATATTGTCTTTGCTGAATAAATCCGTCACTATTACAGAGACTGTTCTTAGTGTCTTAAACGTTTCTTGCTTACAAGGAGCAATGGACTAATTATCAGAATTAAACAATTTTTGATTAAGAAAAACTTATGGGTTTTTCCACATTTTTTATCAGAAAGGCTTTAAAGTTACACGTCAAGATATGCTCATAAGAGTAAATATAATATGTTTACAATCATATCTCCTCATATTAAAGAGATATTGAGAAAACAAGCATGAAACCGAATAAATTTTCTTTTGTTATAAAACAAAATGTTTACCTTTTCCTTCTGCATAGTTCGCTGCAGTACATGTAAATTACTCCCAACAGTCTAATTATGGCGCATTTGATATTCAAAATACAATTTTTATCGTTAAAACTTTATGTGGGTCAGTTTTACTTTGATTTAAATCTTGCTTTTAAGATTTAAAATCAACCTTGAGAAAGGTTGAAACGAATTTGGAATGATACAACGTGAAAAGTTATGAAAATAAATCAAAAATCCGTGTAATTTTCCCGCCTTTTCGCGCGCCCACCCCGTACTATTCTCGAAGCTGTATATGGGCGGGAAAATATTACGGATGAGCCGAGAAACATCTATCAATATCTCATCATATAGCTCCGGGGATAAACATTATTCACACATAATTTTAATCAATACAGGGTATGCTATAATTAGTCCTGCAAAACAAACTGGACAAATTGTAGGCCTTATATTTAAGAAAATTGTTAGGTTCGGACCTTTTTGTATTTTGTTACTGCTGCATATATCCGTAGCTGTCACTTTTATAGAGAAACTGGAATACATTAAATTTCATACTAAAAAGCAAGGATTGGTATGAGACGTGTGTCCAATTTGTTTCTTTAGCTAGAAATCGTAAATTTATATGAAAATTGTAAATCCTCTGTGCATGTAAAGTTTTATTATTATTGAATGTATGAATGAATGAATTAATAAATGGAAACATAATGAATGAAAGGATAGAATGACAATGAATGAATGATTGAGTGGAAAAAGAGTGAATGGTTGAAGAGATAAAGTGGCAATGAATGAATGAATTAATAAACGGAAACATAAT